ATTCACTTAAATCTTTAAGCTATTGATCGCAAACTATCGATACTATCGATGGTTTCAGACTTTTTTCTTTCATAAATAACTTTTTGTGATATGAACATACTTCGCAAAAATTAAATTTGACAAAAAATTTAAGTACAAAAAATTTCAAATCGTGTAAAAAAAATAAAAATATTCGATTTTCAAACCGTGTTATATCAAAACCGTGTACAAAAAGAGCGTGTAAAAACAGACTTAGGTGTACTGTATTTTGAGTTATCTATTAAGGGTTTTATTTGAGGATCGGAATTTTGAATTTAGAAAATATAGAATTTCGATAAAAGGGAAATCTTAAATGCGAAGTGCGGTTATATCGAACTAGTAGGCAAATTAGTTCGTTATATCCAGGGTAAGACTAAACATAGGCTCATCAGATAAAGTATATATTCAGTTCGAAACTGGTAGTTTTAGTCCTTAAGCTGCTTCTTATTTCCTTTGATAAACCTGAACCATCAATGGCATCCGAATGCAAAGTGCATTTTAATGATTAGATTTTCTTCTTCTTCAAAAAATAAAATAATTCGAATGAAGTAAAAAAATGATGAAATGTATAATCATAGTGCAAGGAAATTTAACCTCTTTTGTAAAGTGGAGTATGTTGTCGGAAAAAGTCCATCACACACTTTCCTCCATCTGAATAGATACATTGTGATAGTTAAAATTGTCTTTTCTCTATCATTCCATCAAACACATTTTTCTCGATTTCCTTTAGTGGTAACATTTTGTTTAATCCTGCATGTTTTTTCCTTCTTTTCTACTACTTTCGCAATTCATTCGCATTTCACAGATTATGATTAAAAATAAAAGGAAACAGATGAACAAAAAGCTGATACAAAAATGTATACCGCAGCGCACGTGTGTTTGTGTATGGTCCAACCCGACTCGTGAATGTCTGCTTCAGCAGTGTATTGACCTGAACTAACAGCAAACCCGCCCTCCCTCGTCGAACGGCAGTTATGAAATCCTTTAAAAAAATCGCCAGGAAGGATGAACAAGAAAAACTTTACTCTTATCACCAGTGGACAAAGTTTTTCTGTTGTATACACAAGCCATGTGGCCGGACCGGAGAAGGAGGCAAATGTGAGCGAGAAAGAAAAAACAACCCTTGCGGCCTTTTAGACAATGGGAAAGTATTCGATTTGTAATGGAGAGTTTTATAAATTAAAGTTTTGCAAAAAAAATAGTTAAAGGAGTTTAGTTTATTCAGTTCATTATTCAGTTTTTTTGCAAGAGTGGTAATAATGAATTATATTGAAGTTCTGTTTTAGTATATATTTCTAAAAATAGTCAATGCAAAATGCCGGTAGTGGTTAATGCGCAGCCGCCTCCATGAGTGGTCGCATGGCACATGTTCCAGAAAACAGAGAAAAAACATAGATAGCATGCAATTTAATTTTTTTTATATTGTGGTATTTTATAGCTTGGAGGTTTATAAAGCTTTTCCAAAGCAATTTAAACTGTAATAATAAACTACGGACGAAAGTCCGTTAAATCAAACGGCGGATAGTTTATACCATTGCGCTAATTGTTAAATGTCATTAAAGGATATGAATAATAATAACTTACAGTATTTTCATGAATTCAACGTTATTGTATTTACCTGTAACGAGAGGAGAAAAATAAGTTTATTAAATTTATTTTCAAACATTGTGGACTAATGATTTTATAAAAAAAAAAACAAATCCATTTTTTGATACTTTTGACTTTAACGTTCAAAGCCAAAATGTTAACGTACGTATATGTTTCGTGTGTGTTTTTTAGCTTTTTCGCCACTATGTAGGACTTAGTTGCTTAAACATATGAGTCATATCATTTGTTGGTTCAAGGAGATGATCATAATTTTTTTCCATGATTTTATATATTTTATATAAACAATGGGTCGCTATTGGTACAGCTTAGTAATTGTCTTACACCAAATAAATTGAACTAAATTCGATTGACTCTGAGATATAAATGAGAGTATATGTCGGTAAGTTACCGAATTATCTATATTTATTTGTTAGCTGTGACATGTCCGGACACTTTTAGTAACTTATCATTACGCTATAGTAAACATCCTTTTCACTAAAAATTCCATACGGAAATTGTTTTTTTTTTTAATCAAACTCAAAAAGGTAAAAATATATCGCTAATTTCCTGCAATAGCGGCATAAATCAAAAATCGTGATTTTTAAGTTTTCGGGATAACATATAACGTTATCCAGAATATTCGGAATTTTGGTAGGTTTTGGGAAACTTTTTCAAACGAATTCACAGTACTTTAGGACTCTCATTGGGTACCTAATCTCCCTACCAAATTGTATCAATATTGGCCCAAGTTTCGGATTAGCCCACCTATAACGTTACACCCATTATTCGGTATTTGTAGAGAATAAAAAGTTCGTTCTTGCCTTTTTTATTCATATTTTTGGATAAGCTGTGATTTTAAAATCTTTACTCTGTTAGATAAATTAGCATGTAAAAAATCTACAACAGTAGGTATTTATTGCAGTTATAAACAAATATAGTGAGAGACATGTTATTAAAAAAATACCTAAGTTCATGAAAACATACAAACTTAGCAACAGAAAAATCTCTAAGTCCCAAAAAAAAACATGTATCTCCGCAAATAATTATTTGTTTAATTTTGCCTTTACGCATATAAAATACACATACAATACACAAACAAATTGTATTTACAGATTTAAAAAATCCTTATTCAAAAGAAAGCTTGATTGTGTTTTGTCTCTCCTGGAAAATTGTGAAATATGGACTTGTTGCCTTTACCAGCGATTTTTGATTTATGTCGGTCTTGCAGCGAATGAGCGATTTGCATTTCTTGCCTTTAAAGAGGATTTGGATGTAAAATATATTTCAATTATATAAATAATATAACACCCGATAATATACCATTACACAAAAACCCTACTCTGCCTTTTAAAGCATTTCAGGTACATTGTAAATTCTTTGGAAAAAAAGTTATATTAATAAAAACTATTAGAATAGTATTAGCAATGCTGACAAATGTAACGGAACCATTTGGAAATAAAAACAATTAATAACAAGTAGCTGTTATTTGCTCTTGCTGTCATTGTCCTTTAGCTCCTGTTTCCGGCATCAATGGCCACTTACGCCGCTCATTGCCTCTCACTTGCTCTCATAAGCATCACAAAGTCATCACTGGCTCCGAGTAGTTGTTGGTCATATAAAATTCATGTGACACTTTTCAGCAATCATTACAAACAGACAAATGGGCAAACAGTCATGGAGCGACAGCCAGACGACGGACAAAGCCGACAAATCGAGGCTGCAAAGTGTCACTTCAAAGTGCAAAAGGAAAGCACAAAAAAATAAAACACGAAGCACAAAGGCCCGATCTGTGAACAAAGTGTGGTGGCAATGCAACTGACAGTAAAACTAAAAAATGAGTGTCTGCCGGTGATTGCGAGAAATAACGCAGAAATAAAAGACTCACTCACAATCTGTCAGTCAGTCACCAGGTTGGTCAGTCAGAGTAATGAATTAACTACAGTAAGTTAATGGACAGAAAACAACTTGACTGAATACTGGCTGTTTCCCCCTATTTTCCATTTATGTTCCAACCACTTTCTTATATTCGTTCATGTTAGTCACCATTGTCATTCCCGCCTAGCCCCAGCAAGATGTCCAGTGTCACCGAGGCAAACATTCAATTTTGTGCATAATTATGTCATGTCGATGACATGCTAAAAAGCTGTAATAAAATAGTCAGTCATGGCATCCGAACGGCGGAAAATTTAATAAAAGTTAAAAGTGGAGGTGAATAATTAAAGGTCCCGTTAATGTGGATTAAATGTGAGTGAAGGCAAGAAGTAATTCGTTAAATTCTGCAGCTATTTCAAGGATTAGTTGAATGAAAAGATATATAATTAATAAAAAATATATACAATTGGAAAAGAAATATAGTCAGCAAAAGGATGACAATTTTGTAATTAAAAAATAAATTAGTTATGCTTATTAATTAATCCAACTTAGTGATGTGCATTAACCCGTATAAGATCCAGTATGTGCGTAATTTTTTCTGCAGATGGCTTTACTGATCGATTTTTCTTAAAGTATCGATCAAACAATTTCAGATTTATGTTCGTTGAAAGGGTGACATTTGTGAGTTATAGGGTGTTAAAAATTGAAGTGAACAAAGAGAAAATTCAATAATCACAAATGCGAAAATACAAGCCAAACGGTTAAAATTGTAAAGGGGGTTTATGGTTCCGATACGGTAAAAGCCAATTGTGCATTTTTGGTTTCGTAGATTCCGTTCAGGAATTTTTTGATGTTAAAGATGCATCACGCACAGGTCGGTCGGTCGGTCGGTCGTCGAAAGTGAAAATGATCAACTCGAAGTTGACCGGCATGTTAGCAGTCGTAACATCACCCAGGAGCTAACAATCGACCAAAAAAGCTGTTTCAAACCGTTTACAATTGACCAGAAACGTCCAGAATTGGCCAACAGGAGAGATGTCGTATTCCACCAGGAACACCACACACATATACAGTGGCTCGCCAGAAACTTCGGGAGCTTGGTTGTATACATCCGCCATACAGTCCGCACTTGGCACCAAGCGATTATCATATTTTTCTTGCATTGCAAAATGATAAAAATTGGTATCTGGGGACTGGCATTGTGGGGACTGGGATTGTGAAAATCGACTTCTAAAATGTCCAAACTAATTTTATTCGTAGGGGCAATTTCGCAACGCGTCCCATAATGATGGGAATGTAGTATCCCCAAGGCTTTCTTTTTCATTGCAACTTCGATTAAGTAGCTGATGTCGAAAGACATTTGTAGCTCATCTCGAAAGAGAAATAAGTGATATAAAGTGTCGAAAACAAAAACATGGAACTTCAATTTGTATGTACGTATGTTTTTTTATTTCATATTATTGCATTCGGTCAATCACAAGCACATTCCAATATCTACAATTATTTCTTCAGTTCATATGCATCTATTTACGCAACAAGTAAGAAGCATAGGGATAAGTGTAGGCGGAAGCATAAGGAGCAGCTACATAGGGAGAGGCGGCATAGTAGGGAGCAGTATAAGCGGCAGTATAAGGAGCTGCATAAGCGGCAGTATAGGCAGCAGTGTAGGGAGCAGCAGCTACATAGGGAGCACTGTAGGCTAATGGAGCAACAATGCCGGGTTTAGCAGCAGCCAGGGCAACGACGGCCATCAAACACAAAGCGAACTAAAATATAAAAAAGAATGTTGGTGTTAGGACGACAATAGTCCTCCCTCGACTATTTCCTTTAGGATATTCAACTTACGAATTTGAACATTTTGATTGTTTTGGTTTTTGTTGTGGTCAACAAAATTGTTGTAATTAAACTGATAATAAATAATTTAAATTGTTTACTATTTATACACAAGCCGAAATGCAAATTGCTATGAGGGTGTACTTGCCAACAACTACCTGCCCTATGCCTATAAATTTTGTGTACTAGCGTTTGCCTGTGTGTGCATAAATTTGCCTTTGATACGAGTGCAAGTTTGTTTTGGGCTTTTTGTCGTTATTTATTGTCGTAATTACGGAAGGTGTTGACAGAATTTAAATTAAAAATCGATTTTCATTGATCTAGTCAACCGATTTAGGCAAGCTTACCATCAATGCTGGTCGGTCACCTATTCTTGTCTCAGTTGTTGTTGTTGCCATGGTCTGTTTCGCTGTGTCTGAATTTGGGCATCCTCATAACCAACCACCGTCCCACCGAACATAGTCGTTTGTCGACAAGGGTTTATTGTACCAATAACCCAGTGTCCGGCAATCGATAACAACCAAGAACAAAACTGAAAACACCATCAGCGGCGACCACATGTTTTGTTCACAACAATAGCAGAAACACACATACACACATTTGCCTAGTACTCACAACCACCTCACCTTCTAGTACTACACTTCAACCCCTTCGAACACGAGTAGAATATTGGCGATTTTTCCAAAGGTCTTTTTGTTGTGTTCTGTTTTCATTGCTTGCAAAGTCTCTGATATTGGCGTTCTTGATATTTTTTAATCATAGTTTTGGATTTCGCTTTTAAACAAACACAAATTGTAAGCCATAGATTTTGTGTGTTCGGTGTTGTATCGGCGCACTTGAACGGTCGAAATGTGTGTCAGTCACTGTGTGCCATGTAAGCCAACATATGTGTGGATTTTTCACAGGCTTTGGCCAATTATGTCACTGGACTTTCATGCTGAGACCCATTGTGTTTTTGTGCATCATTTGAGAAATAAATGGCACACCCACAGGACAGAATGGATCATAAGAGGTGTGCATGTGACAGGATTCAAATTGCATTGTACAATCCGGTACAAAGAAACTTCTTGCAGGTTAATCCTAAACACTGGTGGCCAGGTAATCAATTAAAGGGTAAAGTTCTTGAAATCGAAAAACTTTGTTGATTTTGAGTGTTTGTGATTTGTAAAGAGGATAAGAATTATTGTTATGAATAACTTAAAAAAAAACAGGGAATGGTAATATGTACCCATCCATTGGGTGATAGGCAGTTTTAATTTGACTACAAAACTATATATAAATAGCTTTTTAGGTTAAATAATAATTGGGCATAACATGGGAAATGTATATTATTTTATATGAAAATCAACACAGTTTTTATCAGCTATCCATTGTAGGACCTTTTAATATTCTAATCCCAACAACTGTATATTATGACTCACATTTAAATTACAAAATTCATTTTCATTGACATTAACTGTTACTATAACCGATGATGTATTTAGCTACACACACCTTTCGTTTATTTAATTCTATATTCCATAGAAAGGATAATCTCATATCAAAAGCACACCACACATTGGTATGCCAAAATCCTGGATTTATTTTCCGACCTTTGTTCTTGTCGCCCAGCACTCAAAGTTCTTTTCCAAGCGTTTAGTTTTTGAAAAGTAAACAGTAATGCCACGTACAACAGTAATCCTGGTAAAAGGATACTAGGAGAATAACTCTTGTGGTGTCTATAAATAATAAGCACACTCACTCGCACACAGACATACTGTAGTGCGGATGAGAACAAAAATGAGTTAATTCAGTTTTTGTTTAATTATACATGGGCTGTTATTTCGTAAGGGCGAATGGGCGAAACCCATACAAAATTTGGTGACATGGAATTTGATCCCAAAAAGATGATCGAAGGTCAGTATGAAGTAGCTAAATCTGAAATTTGAAGTTTAAACGAAAATTGGGATCCCTTAAATGAAAAAGAATATCAACTCGAAAAGAATGTGGTACAGAACTTGATCTAGGCTTTGTAAAGATCATAGATTGTGCAAAGTTTGGTTCAAATCAGACATTATGTTCGTCTAATATGTTGAGGAGGTGCCAGAAGGAGTGAACCAATGGCTCCCACCGTACCACTGTCCGCTCGCAAGATATTGTAAAATAAATTTGTAGTACAATTTTGACCATTTTGTGGTAGAGTTACCTGAAGGAGTGGACCGATATTCCCCATCTTCGAATTTGAAATAAGTTTGGAAGAAAGATGTGCAAAGTTTGAATAAAATAGATTATTCCCTTCGAGATTTATCTTGCACACCAGCCGGCCAAACAGGCAGGCGGACGGACCAAATTTTCTGAAACGGTTTTGGGTCAAAGAAACCATTATTTCGATGAGGCACATTTTCACCGTATCAAAGTGTATTTACCCTTGTTACACACTACACTACCCCTTACCCTCATACTTATAAAAATCGAAAAATCGATCGAAGAGAAAGTGATTTATTTCCCATTTTTTCTATCTTATATAACTTGTGGATAATTTCCGTAATACATCAATACTTTCCATTATTAAATTTAGTCCACTTTTGCTTTCAACCGCAAGCACAACATTTTAACTTGTATATTTACCCTCCTAACTATTACACCCTGTACTAGACCCACTTACCTATTAATTTTTTGTTTTATATATAACGTGACGTAAGGCTGACAGGTATTCTCGAGAATGCTAAAGGACTTTAGTTTTTGTTTGATGAAGATTATTTGGTATTACAATAAATTTACATTTAAAGTTTTCCTTCCACTGTAAATGTTTATGGATGATGGGTGCGAGCGATAGTTGTGTTGTTGTTGTTGTTGTTGCGGTTTTCTGTGCAAAGTCAAAAAGTAAATTAATTTTTCAGTAGGACTCTATGAAACTGGCACAAACAGAAATCCCAAAATAATATTGAATTTTTAATGAAATACAAATAAAACTACTTGGAATATTGACAAGGTTATGTGTTTAGGTGAGTTGATAAAATATGTCTATGAAAAATTTAAATTGGGGGTAGATTTCCCTGCAAAACAAATTCGAGATGAACCACACTCATTAGAAAAACGCTTAAAGTTTAATTCATGTATTTTAAATTTCAAAATTTAGGCAGTTTTAAAATATAACATTCTTGCATTCAGAGGAATTAATATTCGGTAAATAAAGCACGATCTAAGAACTACCATTGCGATTGATACCATTCTTTCTAAACGAGCCATTATTTCAAATGGCTGTGCCATTTGATATATTATAAGCAAGTGTCAATAATCCAAATCTTTTGAATTGCATAACATCTTCATACCACTTTTATTAAATAAGAAATGACATGACGGCGTAATTGTTTCATTCGAACTAAAAAATTCTAAAAATGTTTGAAAAATGAACTTTTTTTGTTTTCACGTACCAGTGGCCGAGTGTTGAAACGAGTTCTTAAAACTGTTTCAGAACCGCATTGATAAGCCATCAATATTCACTGCCTGACTTGCCAACAAATAAATTAGAATAAGAATTTGGAAATAATTACAAAACGCTTGCCGAATACACAATATTGGAGGTTATTACTTGTACTGTGTCGTAGCTAATAAAAAATAAATGAAAATAAACAATGAAATCACAAAAAAGAAGAAAAAAACACAGAACAAGAAAATGTTCCACACCTAACAATAGCTTGATTGGTACGTGCCACTGTCAAAAACTATTGAAATGAAATGATTTTTTGGTGGTGTGAACATTTAGGCTATGCTGGAAGGCTACACAATGTCTACCTCTGTACACAATTGATCGCTGCCTCCTCCCCCCACACACACACTGTATTGACCTTATAGCCAAGAGACAACACGTCCATGTCCGATTTGCATATTGCCCAAAAGCAAAACAAATCAGAACATCCAGGCACATTAAGCCAATCTCCACCGACTGTGTTTGCCAACAATCGCTTGACTATAAAAACTAGCAATTGTTGGCGATTTGTTATCAGTTCAATACGTTCTGCAAACAAAAACACACAACAATTCAAAATGTTCAAATTCGTAAGTATTCAAATTCTTATCAGAGGATAAACAATAAAAAGGAATATTTAATTACAATTCACTCTCTCTCTCTCTCTTTTCGTGTGAACAGTTCGCTTTGTGCTTGATGGCTGTCGTTGCCTTGGCTGCTGCTAAACCCGGCATTGTTGCTCCCTTGGCTTATACCGCTCCCTATGTAGCCGCTGCCCCATACACAGCTGCCTACACCGCCGCTTATACCGCCCCCTACACCGCTCCTTACTACTCTGCCGCCTACACTGCTCCCTACGTTGCCGCTCCTTATGCCAGCGCTTACACTTATCCTTATGCTGCTTCCTACTTGTTGCGTAAATAGATTTAAATTTAAGGATCTGAGGAATTGAACGGTTATTATTTTTGTTTTATTTGTTAAAATTTTTGGATGAAAAAAAAACGAAAAAAATAAAGAGAATAAATTATGAACCCTTTTTAATGAAACCTAAAAACATGTTTTTTTCATAATGGGAGAATTTATTTTCCTAAATTTTTAAAGCGGAAACAGGAAATTAAGAATTTCTCAGAATTTATTAAACTAAAATGAAAAGGAAGTCCTGTTTCACTAGGAACTAAAAGCTAAGATAAATTTATGTTATCGGTTAATTTTTTACAAAGCGAATGGTACGTGCCTAGAAGTATATGATAAAGGAAACCGTTGTAACCACGAGCAAAGTCGTACAATATAGACTATTTGGCACCCTATTAATAAAGAATTAGTGGACGATTTATTAAGGTTCCGGACGGTTGGACTTTGTAAAATTAATTTTTATTATCATACATTTGATGTATTATAAAGGGAAAAAAACTGAACGTACTGTTGAAGAAGTATAAAATTAACATGGGAGTCACTGTTAATGCTAATATTAGTGATACATAGAGGGTCCATTGTACGATAGGTAAGAGTAGTATTTTTTCAGAAAAGTTAACATTGTTAATTCTCAAAATTTTTATTTTTGGGTCTTCGTGAAGCA